ACCACCCAGATTGCGTACGGTTGTCGGGAGAAGTAAAGGCAGAAATTAAAACCCATGCGCAACAACGAAGCTACGTCGTAGTAGCTAAAAGTCCAAAGGGTACAAACAAAACAAATATGATCCCACAAAAGTAGTTTTATTCTGCTCTGAGTCAAACATCTTATCGATGTGAAAACGACCTTACTAGCGTGCTTCTGTCAGTCTTAGCTCGAGGCGTTTGCTCCGGATAGGTAAAGTTCGAAAATTCCGTTTAGTTCGCGTCATTTATGACTCATCAGTTAGCAAACTGATTTTGGAAACTTCCATGTTCACTCTTCAGCTTGTAATGCCGCGTCCTTGTCATGAACTAGCACAATGCACTTGATCTCATGTAAGGAACGCTTGTCTAACTTCGTAGATAGCGGCCCGTAAATCAATATATTCGTTCGATTTATAATCGTTTTACGTGTCCATGCGGAAAAAACCCGAGAGCATCACGCTTTACTCGTCCAGAAGTACCTGGCCATATTCTTCCTGATCGTAATTAGCCACAGAATAAACAACAATAATCTATAAACTTAAAAATTTTACCCATGTAGATTAACCGCAAGACGTCCGTCTAGTTTAATAGCACCCATCTTTGTATGTTGCAAAAATTTGTTCAATGGATTTCTAAATGCTCTATATTTGCGTGACCAACTAGATGCATTGTTTTTAAAATACATATATTAATTATCGGATGGTGGTGGCTGATCAATGATAGGGTGGTACGTAAATGCCTTTTATTGTTATCAAATACACCCTGTACATCATTCTTATACTATACCACAGTATGGTTTATACGAGAGGCATCGCCTTGGTATACATACGATGACCAATATCGCACTAACATCGGCATCTGCCTTACAAGTTTCACGTTTAGTTTTTTTATATTGCTCTTACTTCGTAAGACGATGGCCTTGGAAGAAACGCAAATCAAGAATAAATTTAATCAAATTATGCATACTGATAAGTGCGATTTAATTGTTTGAAGAGGTAGTCTTTGATGCAACAGATGTATATGATTACGTTCGTTAAAGCTTCCAACATTAGCTTTGATTAACGTTCGTACCGTTTAAAAAATTAAAAAATGTCTGTTGCTATTATCAAAAAAACGCAGCAAATAGCAACCCATCTGTATGCGACATGTAGTGAAGAGTGCTTCGTGATCGTTTGTCAAGCTATTAGCCAAGGCGAAGAGCTTCAGTCGTCCATTGCGTGCCTATAGAAGTTTTATTTGATCTGTAAATCGCTTAGCATTCGTACGACAGATGCGAGTTGTAATACGCGATAATCGTACATAGGTGTTATAGCGCAATTTATGCCATATGGACTGTATTATGTTGTGGTACGGGTGTGGTGTATGAGGTGTAGTTCTTAAAAAGTGGTGCATTCATTAGCCAAATACCTAAATCATGCCACCAAATAAGATACCTAATGACCTCTGACAACGAATCAGAAAGCTTGTCTGAGTATACAAACAGAGAACAGAGGGGGGGACTTAAGTGCCACAGTGGGCACCACCTATAGCCTGTAACTTATTTTTGTTGGCGAACGAATTTAAAATTAATTTTTTTCCGTTTCCGCAACCGAAAGCGTCTTTAACAACTCCCCCCTCGCACTGCACACAACAAACACGTCTTTTGCACGCTTCAACCACCAAATGACGTACTAAAAAAGTCAACAACCACAAAATTGCCGCGTTCAACAAACGGCAGTGTTACTTGCAGCTTATGATGTCTGCTTTGGAAGAGAAGAGGGTTGAAGTTAGGCAAGCAGAAGTTGCAGCCAACAGTGGCAAAGTGAAAGATGGACACAAAGGAAACGGCTCTCGAACGGTGGTAAGTGAGAAAATAAAAGGTGGAATATGGACAAAAAGGGAATCAAAAATAGGAGGCGGAAAGTGAGAGTGAAAAGGAAGATATTCTTGAACTTGTATTTGAGGAGTTAACAGAGGAGGAAACGGCAGGCATCCTCGATAAAATTGAAGAGGTGATTAAGGTTGCCCGCAGTAACCGATCTATGCGGTAAATTGACAACGCCCCGATAACCCAATGGCGTAAGCGTGCTGAACAGAGGCAGGCGGCAGTTGGTGTGCGAACGCTTGAAACGTACTTTTATGTTGTGCCGGCGAAGACCCCAGCACAGGCTTAGGCGCAACCTCCCAGTTGTGGCGACGAAAACAAATGGTCATCAGAAGACGAAGAGCCGTTTACTCTACAAGCAAGCTCACTGAGGCAATCGACAGACTTGGCAAGGAGAAGAAACCACAGGAGAGGTTCTGCTCGTGCGACTTGCTTCAGTTGAAGAATTAGTCATACTTGTGCTCAGTGGATGTCAGGTATGATTAGCACTTTCTGCTCTGCATTATAATGTTGCTCCCGCGTATATTGTACTAATAGCCTTTCATATACCCAGAAAACTGTAGCGTCGCGCATAACTGCCACGGTAAACGGCATTGGTCTTTGGTTTGCTATGACACTTCATGCTTGGGTGCATGAATACCTCGATACGTCAAAACACTTCAAAGCAAGCAAGGACACACGTCAAAAACATCAGCTTGCTTAAGGATGAAGATGTCAACGATGGGGTGCAACGCTATCTCCGCATTAACAAATCCACATTGAATCAATCATCAATTTCGCCAAACATGTCAATGAAGAAATCCTTTCGAAGATTGATCTTGATGCCTATATTTAGGTAAATACATCCAATCGTTGGCTGAAATCCCTTGGCCTGCAATACTCGGAAGTGAGGAAGGGTATGTACGTTGATGGTTACGAACACGCAGACGTGGTCACATATCAGCGAGAGTTTCTGCAGCGAATGGAAGAATTCGAACCCTCCATGCCTAAGGTTGAAGGGCCTGAGATGGATGTTACGGTGTGGCCAGAAGGCGAAGCGGTAATACTTTTCACGCATGATGAAAGCACGTTTGCCGCGCACAACGGCAAGAAAAAGTTGTGGCTTCCTGAAAGAAAACAGCTGCTTCGCAAAAAGAGAGCAGGGAGGTCCATTCATCTTAGCTGCTTTCTAACTGACATTGGTGTGATTTTTGGATTATTGCCTCACACTTGTACATTAATTTTTTGCACTGACACCGCAACTTGCACTGTGGGTAGCCGCCTCATGTTGAGCTCAGACAAGCAAGCTGCGCCCCAACGTTGCAAACGAGGCTTGCATTATTATGCATCCCAGAAAAATCACGATGGTTGGTGGGCTGCTGAGCACCTCCAAAAGCAGGTTCGAGACGTGGCCATTCCACTCCTAAACGCGCAGTTTCCTGGTTCCAAGTCCCCTTTTGCCTTTGACAATACAACTAGCCATGCGGCCATTGCGGCCAATGCTCTGGTAGCCTCACGCATGAATCTTGGATCTGGAGAAAATCAACCAGCAATGAGGGATGGGTTGCTTTCTATGGAACAGCCCAATTCATGGTGCTGCCTGCCACCCACCCTCTTGCTATGCAAAAAAAGAGAATTAAGGCTGTCCTGCAAGAACGGAAACTGTGGACACAAAAACTTCGTTCGAATTGCCGCGACAAGTGTGCTTACACCGGCAGTTGCTGCGCCCGCAGTGTCATCCCGAATCAACTGATTTCAAGAGGCAAAAGGGCTTTTGAAAAAGACTATCATTACAGCCGCCTATCTCATCATTTTTACCCTAAGTTCCATTGCGAACTGAACTTCATCGAAATGTTCTGGGAGAATTAAATAGCCATGCTCAGAAAAATTGCGACTACACGTTCAAAGGCCTCGAGCAAATGGTCCCAAAATCCTTGGCATCCGTCTATCTCACTATCATCCGCCGCCATGATCGAAAGTGCATTCTATGCATGGACGTATATCGAAAAAATTTTTTTTTTGGCAGTCCGCTGAATTCGCCGCAAAGAAAAATCGGTCGCACCGAAAGGTCCCAACTTCAATCTTGATGCAGTGAACGTTATAGCTGCTGTAAATTAAAGTATTTTTCAAATATTAGGAAACAAAAGGGAAAAGCCGAAAAAAGGCTACGCGGGGTTACTTAGGGCGGCCAAATGTGCCTCGCCGCAAGCCTGGGTTCATTTATTCTCCGAACATTAGGGTCCTACGACTTCGCGAAAAATGTGTCAAGTGTAAATTCGAGACTGGAGAGTAAAGCAAGTAGCATACTTCAGCCATTAATGGTCTTAGATTTGTATTTTAAGAAGCATGGGGTGACGAGTAGCTGAGTGACAGATATCGAAAAATGTTAGAGGTTATATATGTCACTATATATATATAGGTGGCGCGCACTGTATGCGGAGAAAACAACTAACGCAACAAAAAGTGCATGCGGGACATCGTAAGAGTTTAAGTTATGGACGTTGAACCGGACCTGGTACAGTTTTGACCCTGTACCGGGTCCGGTTCAGTTTTGACCCTGTACCGGGTCCGGTTCAACGTCTCTAACTCAAACTCTAACGATGTGTTTCGCAAGACTATCCAAAATTAGACCGTCACTAAACAGCTGCATTTAGTGTAAAGTGCAACAGTCAGTCTGCGCCAATCCACGGCAAGACGTCTTGACGGCGCCTGTCTTCGCACCTTTCGTCGCATTGCAACGAGTTGTCGCCTGTCATTTCGTTCAGACCACGCCAGCTCATTTGCACCCTCAGTCAACTCCGATTGTCCACGTCCTCTCCCTTGCTCTTGGTCTTTGCAAGAGACTCTATAATGCAGCAAGAGGTTTTCGCATTCAGCAGCGACTGAGTGACTGACTATCCGTGACTTCTACTGCCTGCAAGTACCTGTCATGAACGAGGTAGCCTATGGTACGAGGGGATGACTAGTACGGAGGAGATCACCCATCGACTAACGACTCGAGTTACTGTAGTTGTTGCATTGGATTCATAGTTATCTAACATGCAGCGAGATGAGGAGGGTAATAGTACATGAAGGGGAGAACATGACACCGCACGAGGGAGGTAGTGGACATAGAGGGAACGCAGCGGCTCGAGTCGTCTACTCGTAGGCGTCCATGCAGTCCCGCGGCAGCCGTGCAAAGACGCGACCAGCTTCGGTGAGTTCAACTGTGGCGCCCTGCCTGCCGTCACGTTGTAGAGTCGTCCTGGCCTTTGTGACAGTCTCATCTTCCGAAGCAGTAGTTGAACTAGAAACGGACGCTGAGCGACTGCGACAAGAAGGCGAGCGGCCGGCCTTGGCTTGTTCCAGTGCCCGCTCCTGGCGGATGCGCTGGGCGTCCTCCCGCGAGATGGCCGACCAGTTGATGGCGTGTTTCTTGGACTTCATGAGACGGTAAGGCCAGACGATGCCGAGGCGTCGGCAGTTGCGCTTGATGGTGACTGTGGCGACGCCAAGCTGTTGTGCGGCCTCACGTTGCGACATGTGGAAGTACTGGGCCATCTCTTCCGTGGTGAAGTCAAAGACGACGCGGCTCTTGCGGACCTTTTTGTTGGGACTGGCTCCAGGCTGGGTGCGCGTCTTGGTCGGAGAGATGGTAGGCGAGGCCAAGTGCAAAGGAGACAGCACGGGCGTCAACAGGAACGTGTTGACGGTCGGCAGCTGGCGGAATGACGTCGCTGACCCGCAGTGCAGCGGGTGCGCGACGCTGAACGTACTGCAAGCTGAGAGAGGCATGCTGCTCATCATTGCGAGGAGATGTGGAGGTGGCGATGGGTAGAGAGAGGCGAGTGAGGACGGCGTTCGCTGCGTTGCGTTCGGTGGGTAGACGGCAAATATGCGAATGACTTGTTCCGACCGACACGTCTGTATCGACTGCGGCCGGTTTTCGGCGAGGGGCCAAGGGTCAGAGCGCGTTCCGGACGCTCGACTCCCTCCGTCGGGAGGACAACACGAGCGCTACTGACGCCAAGTGGGCTAGTGGATACTTTTCTCTCGCCATCGCCTGTCGCGTGCCCGCGTCTTAGTCTGCAGACGCGGCGCCGACGAGCCTCGGGTCGCTGTTGCGGGCTGTACCGCCTCTGACCACCGCCACTGGCGATAAATGAGCCCTGTCACGCGGGACTTGACCCCTTGAAGATGGCGGGCGGGCTGCAAACCGTCAAAGATCGCTGCCGTTTCGTCCCGCTCTTGTCCACGCACTCTGCGACGCGCGACGTCCCATGCAGCCATCAGCAGCTCTTGGGCCGTGTTTGGCCCTGGTGAGGGCAAGACAGACAGACACGCCGCCGAAAACGGAACTGGCCACAGGGGCGGCTTGTAACTGCTGCTGTAACAGCGCGACTTGCGCGCAATCGTCGTCGTCGTCGCCGCCGCTCTGGCCATGGAGTAAGGACGGGACACTATCCCGGCAGAAAACCCATCGCCGCAACTGCAGAAGGCGCCGTGACATGTGGTTTGGCAGCTTGTGCTTGGCGAGCGATTCGGCTCGACTCGACTCTTCGGCTTCCGCGGGTCGGATCGAAAGCACGGCACATCAAAGCCACCCGCAAAGAAACGGTGTTGTATGCTACACAGTGATGGATTGGAGTACGGCACCTTTCTCCAGCACTCACTGGACGCTGCAACCCACGACACCTGCCTCCTTCAGCGACAAGTATCGTTAAAGTATAGACGTTTCGGGCGTCGCACCGTGACGTGTGGGTAGCAGATCGTCACAGGAAAAACTATTGACTTCAACGTTAACATCTCTTCCGACTGCAACGTTCTACTTGGCCACTGCGATCGGCAAAAACCTGGTTCGGTAAAGTTTCAGTGACACTGGTTGCGTGTGAACTGCAGGTCCCCACTCCTCCTACACGGCAGAGCGAATCGCGGGAGACCTCACCGCGACGTCTACTGTGTCACGCCTCGGAAGACGTTTTTGCACGCAAGTTCTCTGAAGTGGTCAGTTGTATGCACACCCTTACTGCTCCACTGCCAACCACTAGAGTCCTTCAATCGTGCAGTCGAGCACGCTCCGGAGTCTGGCATTCTAAGCTGTCGATAAGGACTCCGGTGAGTACTCCTTCTAACGAGTGACAGCAACGTTCGTGCACATGAATGTGCATCTTTTCACGCAGCTGTCAGGTTCGTGAAGCGGTTTGACAGGTCACTTGTGAGCCATTTTGTCCAGATAAACACATTGTCTTTTTCGTAAGCATCCACATGCACGTGTGTGTCCGAAACTATTCGACGCATTTGGAGAAAATGTACGGTGGCGACATGTCAATAAACCCAACGCATTGACTTCGACTTGTGCATACGTAACTATCTCGACACCTACGACAATGGCGGGACCATGAGTACGAATATGCAATCAAAGTTCGCTACGATGTTTTTAAGGTGAGTGTTGTCATGGACTGTGACAGCCGACACTTTGCGATTATGAAACAACGAAATCTGCGTTTATTTAAGGCTGTGCTGATAACTGCATTCAGTTACGGTATAGCTGTCGGGCCAAGACGGAATCTAAGGACAGGGTACCTTGCCCGATCACGATCTCTAAATCCAGAAATTAAAGCCAGAAATGAAGGTGAAGTACTAACCTAAGACCACTGCAAGGTTAAATTAAGCTGCTGCTGTAGAGGCTTAATCCTCCCACTCCACTCTTCGATAAACAAGCACTAGAGGCCGTCAAGTTTGACATGATCTGCTTGACCCGACGAATAAACGTGGTCGAACGGCGCGAGGCGGTTGGTAGCTTTGAATGATTCAACAAACTTGAAATCTGCGGAACAAATGGACGATCGTATGTTTGTAGATTATTAATCGCATGCTGGTGCATGTGGTACCAGACCCTGCTATAAAAGCTATTTGATCTACAAAGTCGTGTAAATAGTTAGCGAAAAGGCTGCAGCATAAAATTACATCGCGAATACGGCAACCTACCAATACGGCTTCCAAAAATCTCAACAATTTGGCTAAAACATGCACGTAAAGGATTTGTCAGACGTAATGACATTTCATGCTCAGTTTGAATTGTCTAAGAGCTTGACGGAATCAAAGAAGAATGACCACCCTTACTCATTTCATAGCTACACATTCGGTTAGCATTAAATGATACCAAAGCGGTAAAGAAATTTCCCGGTGAGTCAATAGCGGAACAAATAGTTCATTAAATGCCGCTCACTACCCTCGCGTCCTTCTCGCGAATTCTTTAAACTTCCTCAATTTTCTAATCAATAGAAGGTGTACAGATTTACAAAGTAGGGTTGTTTTCGACAATAATGTTAACTTGACGTTCGTCTCCGTCCTGCGTAGACGCAAGTTTGGACACATTAGATGTGCAGCATCCAAATTCTCTGCCAGCAATCCACATTTTGACACCGATCCATATTAGAGCCAGCGCCAACCTCTTGTAGTTGTTGCTTGCGCATTCAGCCTGAATAAACTTGTTGTGTTTCGGCAACAGTGCACTAACATGAATGAAGTGGCATTCTTCTCGGTGCGTGCAATGGATTTCAATGCCGAAACAATCGCCAGAAGTCGCTGACAACAGGTGCGGGATTAATGCAGACATTCTTAGATAGCTTTGCAAATTCAGTGTCAAACTGTCAAGAATTGACACCCTCGGTGCCACAAACTACACTTGGCTAATGTCGTCGGCATTGTCGAGCCGATAATTAAGCGTAACACGCTGTGCATCAGCGTGTCTGTAAAGCGATAACGGAACGTGGAGGACAACTACATTCGTTACAGATGCTCGTAGATGTCTAATGTCGACATTACTACGGGTACATCATGATGCTGCTGCTTTTGAGATAGACTTGTGTATGGTGATGTGGATCCTTTCGGATCGTCCTCTTTGCAGCACGAAGCTTGTATTGATGGTGAACATGCAGACTTGATATAAAAAGCCAACAGACAGCATCGCCTCGTCCACTACCACTGACCTCATAGTGATCGGCGACACAAAAGCATTTGCTGTGCTGCAACAGGGTCGTAGGAATAAACTAGTGTTACAAGTCCGTGACGGCGTAACAGTACAGAGTGACATACCACATTATCGATGACGTGTGTTGCCTGTGCTCAATCGCCCTGACGTAAGCTGAAATGCAGTTCAGCAGACAACTCATCTGTACCTAATCAGTTAAGATGACATGAAAGCAGTCGACAGACATCGCAACGACCGAACAGACAAAAATTAAAACCTCCTCATTCACATGATCGAAGCACCGCGATAAAGTCAGCATACCAAAGCATCTAGTAAGCATGGTACTGACTCCTTTCTGCTCCGTCAATTACTCACAAGGCAAGCCCCGCAATTCTTGCCCATTATGACCATCGTAAAATTCTCTCCAAATGCGTCTAACAGTTTCGGACACACACGTGCATGTGGATGCTTACGAAAAAGACAATGTGTTTATCTGGACAAAATGGCTCACAAGTGGCCTGTCAAACCGCTTCACGAACCTGACAGCTGCGTGAAAAGATGCACATTCATGTGCACGAACGTTGCTGTCACTCGTTAGAAGGAGTACCCACCGGAGTCCTAATTGGCAGCTTAAGAATGCCAGACTCCGGAGCGTGCTCGACTGCACGATTGAAGGACTCTAGTAGTTGGCAGTGGAGCAGTAAGGGTGTGCATACAACTGACCACTTCAGAGAACTTGCGTGCAAAAACGTCTTCCGAGGCGTGACACAATAGACGTCGCGGTGAGGTCTCCCGCGATTCGCTCTGCCGTGTAGGAGGAGTGGGGACCTGCAGTTCACACGCAACCAGTGTCACTGAAACTTTACCGAACCAGGTTTTTGCCGATCGCAGCGGCCACGTAGAACGTTGCAGTCGGAAGAGATGTTAACGTTGAAGTCAATAGTTTTTCCCGTGACGATCTGCTACCCACACGTCACGGTGCGACGCCCGAAACGTCTATACTTTAACGATACTTGTCGCTGAAGGAGGCAGGTGTCGTGGGTTGCAGCGTCCAGTGAGTGCTGGAGAAAGGTGCCGTTCTCCAATGCATCACTGTGTAGCATTCAATACCGCTTCTTTGCGGGCGGCTTTGAGGTGCCGTGCTTTCGATCCGACCCGCGGAAGCCGAAGAGTCGAGTCGAGCCGAATCGCTCGCCAAACACAAGCTGCCAAACCACATGTCACGGCGCCTTCTGCAGTTGCGGCGATGGGTTTTCTGCCGGGATAGTGTCCCGTCCTTACTCCATGGCCAGAGCGGCGGCGACGACGACGACGATTGCGCGCAAGTCGCGCTGTTACAGCAGCAGTTACAAGCCGCCCCTGTGGCCAGTTCCGTTTTCGGCGGCGTGTCTGTCTGTCTTGCCCTCACCAGGGCCAAACACGGCCCAAGAGCTGCTGATGGCTGCATGGGACGTCGCGCGTCGCAGAGTGCGTGGACAAGAGCGGGACGAAACGGCAGCGATCTTTGACGGTTTGCAGCCCGCCCGCCATCTTCAAGGGGTCAAGTCCCGCGTGACAGGGCTCATTTATCGCCAGTGGCGGTGGTCAGAGGCGGTACAGCCCGCAACAGCGACCCGAGGCTCGTCGGCGCCGCGTCTGCAGACTAAGACGCGGGCACGCGACAGGCGATGGCGAGAGAAAAGTATCCACTAGCCCACTTGGCGTCAGTAGCGCTCGTGTTGTCCTCCCGACGGAGGGAGTCGAGCGTCCGGAACGCGCTCTGACCCTTGGCCCCTCGCCGAAAACCGGCCGCAGTCGATACAGACGTGTCGGTCGGAACAAGTCATTCGCACATTTGCCGTCTACCCACCGAACGCAACGCAGCGAACGCCGTCCTCACTCGCCTCTCTCTACCCATCGCCACCTCCACATCTCCTCGCAATGATGAGCAGCATGCCTCTCTCAGCTTGCAGTACGTTCAGCGTCGCGCACCCGCTGCACTGCGGGTCAGCGACGTCGTTCCGCCAGCTGCCGACCGTCAACACGTTCCTGTTGACGCCCGTGCTGTCTCCTTTGCACTTGGCCTCGCCTACCATCTCTCCGACCAAGACGCGCACCCAGCCTGGAGCCAGCCCCAACAAAAAGGTCCGCAAGAGCCGCGTCGTCTTTGACTTCACCACGGAAGAGATGGCCCAGTACTTCCACATGTCGCAACGTGAGGCCGCACAACAGCTTGGCGTCGCCACAGTCACCATCAAGCGCAACTGCCGACGCCTCGGCATCGTCTGGCCTTACCGTCTCATGAAGTCCAAGAAACACGCCATCAACTGGTCGGCCATCTCGCGGGAGGACGCCCAGCGCATCCGCCAGGAGCGGGCACTGGAACAAGCCAAGGCCGGCCGCTCGCCTTCTTGTCGCAGTCGCTCAGCGTCCGTTTCTAGTTCAACTACTGCTTCGGAAGATGAGACTGTCACAAAGGCCAGGACGACTCTACAACGTGACGGCAGGCAGGGCGCCACAGTTGAACTCACCGAAGCTGGTCGCGTCTTTGCACGGCTGCCGCGGGACTGCATGGACGCCTACGAGTAGACGACTCGAGCCGCTGCGTTCCCTCTATGTCCACTACCTCCCTCGTGCGGTGTCATGTTCTCCCCTTCATGTACTATTACCCTCCTCATCTCGCTGCATGTTAGATAACTATGAATCCAATGCAACGACTACAGTAACTCGAGTCGTTAGTCGATGGGTGATCTCCTCCGTACTAGTCATCCCCTCGTACCATATGCGACCTCGTTCATGACAGGTACTTGCAGGCAGTAGAAGTCACGGATAGTCAGTCAGTCAGTCGCTGCTGAATGCGAAAACCTCTTGCTGCATTATAGAGTCTCTTGCAAAGACCAAGAGCAAGGGAGAGGACGTGGACAATCGGAGTTGACTGAGGGTGCAAATGAGCTGGCGTGGTCTGAACGAAATGACAGACGACAACTCGTTGCAATGCGACGAAAGGTGCGAAGACAGGCGCCGTCAAGACGTCTTGCCGTGGATTGGCGCAGACTGACTGTTGCGGTGTAAGAAGGCGTCGTTCGGGCGATGTGCTTCAAGGTGATGATTTATATGAGCGACGCACGGGCTCATGGAGGAATAGAGGCAGCTTTGCACCCAGTGACGCATGGCGGATGAGACAGAAGCGCCGATACAAACAGCAGTCGTAACGCTGTTTCATACGATCTGAATCATGTGGTACCACTCGCGGTTGATGTCACAGTAGGACTGTAACAGCCATGGGACAGCTCCGACCGACAGGCAGCTTGATCGGATCTTCTGCTCATACTGATCACAGATTATGATCGTCGCTCGTTCGCTCTCCCCTCGATAAGGTGATGGAAGACAGCTGTCTATCAGTTTGTGCTCTTTATGAAAAGAGCTGACAGACACAGATGGACAGAACATCCTCGGAACGTGTGTATACTAGACTACACAATCGTGAATCTTCCTACTGTGCGCCACTGATGGAATGCACTTAGTGAGATAGGGGAGCAAGCTCTATAGCTCGCCCAGAAATGTGATTATTAAGTTCGATAAACGAATCAAGCTGCAAAGCACTATCCAACAGCAGCAGTCACTGAAGAATGAGTACGATGCTGTTCATGTCTAATATTTATCTACCCATTACAGGTAGGTAGAAAGCAACGCGATCGGCCTGTGCTTGTAAGCGTCCCGCATTTGCTGATGTGATCATACTCATCTTTGATTGATTTTAAGCCAATCAGGTGCGCGCATCACGATATCGGCCTAGCCATAGCGTGACATCGATCATGCGACTCGACCTATGAGGGGGGACAGGCTAGATCTTACTTGGTACGTGAAAAAACACCCCTACCCGCGTTATTTACAGACACACACATAAATAAGTATGATTTAGAAGTTCGGTATTCAACCTTGCGCACATTCACTAATTGCTTTGCCCTTCAAGCTCGCAAAAAAAAGATCCTACAAGCAGCGCGAGTTTATATGGTGTTTTTACGTTCGTGACTCGCTGCCGTCGAGCGGATGTCCATTCGCTATAACCAGATAAAACTATTTGTCAAGTTCAATAACGCGGAAGGCGTGCTTATAGTGAGCTCAAATGAACATGGCACTAAAGGACCTCACAACACGGAGTGTCATTAAGATACTGTGGTCAGAATGTGAAAAACGCGCTGGCTGGAGTGGTCAAAACATGCAAAGCTATCAACGGACGTTACTTGTGTTGTTAGAATGTGAGCTTAATTGTCATTTATACTATGTTAAAGAATAGCGCCCATAGCGTGTTTATACTTGCTCCAACTTGACTCCGTCAATGAGCAGCTCCAGCTTGATACCAGAAAAAATTAAGTTGGGCTGGCTGTTTTAATGCCTCGATCACAAAGCCTCCGCTCCGCTTTGGCTTCCTCAAGTGGCTCTTCTTCCGCGGCACCTTCGTCAGTCCCAGTCGGTCTTTGTCGCGCTTTCTTCTCTTCCGAAACGTGGCTAGCGTCTCGCACTGGTCCAAGTCCAGCCGGGTTTTTTTCTCTCGCTCGGCCTTCAGCTCCTGCTTCCTTTTCCGCTTCATTCCGGCGAGTGTCTCCTTGCCGGCCGTAGCGCCGTCATTTCCATTCTGCCCCACGCTTCTTGTTGTCGTTGGGCCCTCTGCGTCGTTCACGGTCTCGGACAGTATCTTCGCTCGCGGTGTGCTCTCTGCATATTCCATCTCTCTCAGTTGTAGCACTTTTGTTTGACTTACTGACGTGTTTTGTGGGGTCGAGGTATTTCGATTTTACCCTGTACCTTCTTGACCCGGCCTCGTTTTTCATCTTTTTGCTCAGGTTTTAGCCTCGATTACTCTTTTTTATTCCAATTGGCATAATGATGTTTTTTTTCACCAGAGTTTGCAAGCTCAATGTTTATAAGACCAAATCTCGTAACCTCGACCAAAACCTATCACAACGAAGACTCCAATATAATCTATTCCACGACCAGTGTAAACACTTCCATCACTACCGTCTAAATACGTCAGAGCTACGACGTCTTGCTGATACTTTCACATCGTCAAGCCTGAGGTGCGTCTTCACTCTAGGTTAACTTTCCACAACGAAAGAGTACACTCTGGACAGATTGACTGACTATGTACTCAAAAAATCTCGGAGACTGACAACTCAGGAATGCGACGACGCTGTGTCGACTACGTGGTACCTCCATAAGTGACGAGACTTTATGCTTCACTTGACAATGCTCACAATTCATTCATCAATTCCACGTCCAATAACATCTCCAGCTTATCGACAAGGCTGACAATGCTGCGTGTCCCAGGAAGACACGATACACACAAGACAAAGTTGGACCGCAATTCCACGAATGCACTTGCATCCATCAGCCGACACTTCGGTCCTTTTTCACGCTCCAGATTACACTCCAATGCGCTCCATCTCTGGAATTCGCAAGACACTGCGGCAAAAAAGGACCTGAGCGGCCACCTCGATATCGAGTCGAGCTCTCTTCTCCCGCATCAGTTGCCCGTAGTTCGTGAACGCCTCTTGAAAAGGAGTCGACACGGCACTGATGCATAAATACTTTTTCGCAAGACGAGCGAGCGAGGGGAACAAGCGCCGATAACGACCCCACCACTCGAGAGGGTCGTGCTCAGTATCGTCTGTAGCTGGCAAGGACGGGGAATCCAAGTACTGTTGCACTTGTGCCTTGAGTTTCTCGATCTCGGTCGCGGGCTCATCCAACGGGAAAAACTCGTGCAAAAGAGCTGCTGTCTTCTTGTTCGGTAGAGCAGCATCAGCAACTGGGACACTCGACGCATTCCCATTTCCATCTTGTTTCTTCTGTTCGTCTGTCTGGTTCTCATCTGCTGCCGGATCGAGGTGATCTCGACTGTCGTCCGTGACGTTCTCCTTCTCATGGACCCCGAGAAGCTCGTACAGTGAATCGACGAGCTGCTCCTTCTCTAATGTCGACAGAAACGGCAACGTCTTGAAGCGAGGATCGAATAGACACGACAAGTACGCAGACGACGGAGTCTGGCCGGACGAACAGAGGTCCATGTTGAGATTCGTGACAATGGCATCACGCACCGTTGCGACAAGCGGATCGGTCACCCATGTAGCAGCATCTGCCAGATGCTTCTTCAGCGAATGTAATAGCGGATACGCAAGAGACAACCCCGCGTACACATGCGGCGAAACGTGCACCAACCCTTCGATGCGGTCAAGAAGTCGGGCAAGTTGCTTCAATGTTGCCCACTCTTCAGGTGACAACTCGCAACACACGAATCGAAGCTGCATGGGTCTCCGGGCCGGATTCGTATCGCTTTCGAGACCCATTTTGTACCGCAAAAGCATCGGTTCCAGCTGGACAATGCGACACATCATTTCTGTCGTGGAATTCCAGCGGTCGTCAAAATCGCAGATCACGGGCAATGCCTCGCTAGATTTGCTACTTGACGAAGACGTCAATGGAGCAGTGCGAAAGTTCGCAGCAGTAGAAGTAACATCATCCGTAGCCGCGTACGAGGATTGACCCTCCTTGACACCGTCTAACTCGTCGCCTATCGTTGCGTTGCCACTCTCCGCGATGCTTACACTGACGCCGTCCGCTGTCGCAGCAAAGGACGCTGCTTGTGTGTGAGCTGCAGAAGTCGCGGAGGCCTCTTCGCTCATATTGCGCTGAAGAGCGAGAAAGATCTGGTACTCGGACGGGTTCTGGATGAAATACGAAACGTACGTGCGGCACCTACGGGTGAGATCGGCGCACGCACGCAATCCGCTCGAGACCGCGCCTTCTAACTCCTCCACAAAGCATCTCACAACAGCCAGACCTGGATACTCGCTATGGATCGCATCTGCTTCCGCCTGTGCTTCGGCCTGCACTTCTGCAGCTGACTGTAGAGTAGCCAAGTCGTCTTCGCGTGCACTACTCGTCGTAGGTATGTGAGGACGCATCGTCAGTGCTGCAACTTTCGACGATGGGATGTCCCACTTCTCCATGACGTCTCGTAGCAGCGCGATGGTGTTCACGCGTTCATCCAGAGGTAGCACGTATACTTCCAGTACACAGTCCCGACGTCGGAATCCCCGAGAAATCCAATGACCACTGACACTGAGCACGTTTTGACCAAACGCTGACGTCCAGTTGTTCAGTGACAAACTCAACACTTCAACGTCTGCTACCACCTCCTTCAGAATCCCTCGCTGCGAGTAGTACAGGTTTGCCAAAGCGAGTTTCAAGGTCTCTTCCGATGGCAGCTTCACACCAGCGTAACCCATGCCGTAGCTGGCACCGTACCCTGAAGAAGCTCCTCCGTATCCAAAACAATGAGGTCCAGACATCTTCGGCCACTCCGTCACTCCGCCCATGAACAGCATCCCCAACTCGGCGCTCACGTGGGAAACGTCCAGTGGCTCGTACTGTGCAATGAGAAACTGCAGCAGTCGATGCGTCAACATCTTGAGACTCACAGCAGATGCAGCAGCAGCAGCTGAAGCTCCCACAGTCCCGTGACCTCCAGCAGCGCCACTACAAGTCCCGCCACTTCCAGCACAAAGTCGACGACTACGTCCACCAAGTCCTCCAGACCCCGTCATTGCTGTCGTCGTCGCAGTGGTAGCCGCTGCCCCAGGGAGCGGAGAGGAACAGTCCCCGAACCGCGGATCCACGAGTCCCACCGCGTCCATTCCCGCGTCGTGGAGCTCAAAGCCCACAGGAAACTGCAACGCGCCTCCGGACGTGGCTGTCGCACATGTCGCAGCCATCGACCCAAACGACGCAGCAGCCGCATCGAACTCGGACGCGAGCGCGGCATTTATCGTCCCGTTGTCGCTCGCCAGTCTCTTGCTCAAGAGGCTGCTGCCATTGCTGGAGCCACAGCTGCTGCTGCTGGCGGCGACGCGTCGACGGGCGATCCGGAGCTCCTCAACGAGCTGCTGTTGCTGTTGCAGTTGCAGTTGGTGGAGAGGGCGGGGTTTATGGTGTGCACCACACGAATCGTGGCCCGGCCCAGCTGTTGCGACTTGGTGTGTCCCGTCTGACGATGACGACGGGAGCAAGAGCTGCGATGTTGAAGTTGCAGGTCCAAAAGCTGAAGCAGCTGGTGCGCCGTCCCCAGACGACGCGGTGATTGGCTGGCGGTGCCCGTGACGACGGTACGACGCGCCTCTTGAGTGGCGGTCGTAGTCCGCGGGACTTTTGCCGGGCGCGTATTTCTGGTGCTTCTGGCGCAAGTGCCGGTTCATGGTGCTCGTGCCGCCAGAGTAGGCGAAGCGCGTCGTCTGCGACGGACAGAGCGTGCAGATGACGAACTTGCCGCTCGCATCTTTGACGAAGTAGTCCCAGATGAAGCTGGGGAGGGCCAGAGCCGAGTCGGATTTGGTCCGACCACTGCTGCGCCCACGACGACGGGCAGACGAGGCGGCGGCGGCGATGGGTGACGCATTGTCCACGAACGACGATGACGACACGTCGGCGGCGTCTGGGGGCGGCTTGGAGTGATGAGCAGGGTCGCTCTCGACGGTGGCGCTCGGTTCGAGCAGGAGCGCATCGGGGTCCATGGTGACCGCGTTTGCCTTGGTGAATGTATGGCGCTGCGGTTCACCTCCGCCAGTGATTGAAGTGAGCCAATCGATGCAGGCACTGGAGAGCTCCAGCGTCTTGTGATTGGTGGAATGTCAGAGGATGCGGAAGGGACGGGAATGGCGATTGTCATTCGATGAAATGAATACGAGTGCAAAAAAGGCGGTGCGTAAACATGCTTAATGCACAACCAATTGACAGATCGAATGGATCTTATGACCTAAAAAGGGTCAACTTTGAAGTCAAGTAATCGATTGTAGCAGTGGGTGATTACGGTGATGAGATCCATTGCTAGTGATCACTGTCATCCGCCACAGCTGAACGTGTCGAGTGACACTGTCCAAAGTGAATTGTACAGCCACCGCGGTTCGTGCCAGCAATTGCGTGCGTTTGATGCTCAGTACTGCACACAACATGCACTGCTTGTATGTTGTATCTACACCTTTTCTGCGCGTAATCAGTGCAGCGCAACCAGCATAAGATGAAGAGCAAGCGTAAAGCATGTCGTGTGGTAGCTTGCATGTGTAGTCTATAGTGTTGGCAACAAGTTGGCCTAATAGCAATATGCATACGACTCTAGCAGCAAAGAATGTCGTACCGCCAAGACTGACACTACCAGCCGATCGGATTTGTAGTCATGGTCGGGCACAGTCACGCTATCGAATACCCACAACTGAAGACTGATAGGACAGGACAGCTAGGGACGGACATTCAGCAAGTCTATTGAGAATTAGGAAATTGCTAGCCTGTCACCAGGCCGTAACGCATCGTGTATGTCAAAAGGCCAGGTGATTCTACAGGTGCTGTCGTCTACGTCGAGCTTAAATGAATCACAATACCAATCAACTCTTCGCGACGTACAACTTGATCGTGCTGTTGTTGAAGCGGTGAATGATAGAACAATGAAAAACGCACTTGTCTGTGCCCATCGATGCGTAAACATGTCGCACTCAATCAGATTACTTTGCTTGTACGTGTGTGAAGCGACATCAAAAGAGTCTCATCGAACGCTGTGTTGCATGTGTGCCTTCCAGCCTTTGACCATCATGACCTTTTCAACAGTACGTCTTGTGCGAGGCAGTTGTCCGTTCCCATTTCGCAGGTTGGTTATTTGCACCTAGTCAGCGACGCACTTGTTTACTGAAAAAAACTCGCGATTACGTCTGCTTCAATAAATAAGTACGACTCGATACAACCATTTGACGCACATAGACCGTTCCGGGCTTGTTAAGTCAGCTGCGAGCGACAACGACGTTAACGCTTTTTTGTGTTGACGCATTACACTTTAGTGCAACATTTCGCTCACCCGATCCACTCGAGCAAAACCTCGGAAATGAGTTCATTTCGCAGCAATAGTTTATCGAGTATAGTTCGAGCGAAATCATTCGCTAACCAATGGACAAAATGGTGCGGCAGAGTGCCCGAGTCCAGATGGTCACGGAGAAAGTCGTGACGGCTGTCGCCACGTCGTCCCGAGTTGCCAAAAAGCGCAAAAGCGCCGTCTCTGCCGCGACAGTCTCGTCTCCAGTCACAACTGAGTCATCTTCTGTTGAAATAAAGAAGACCAAGACGTCGTCGAGCGCCACTGCAGACAAAGGCGCATGGGGAGTCCTATTTGCACCTCCGACCACGAAGAAGCCAGATCGGGTGCGACCACTGGCTGCTGCGCCCGTCTCCACGGAACTCCAGCAACAGATCGACGCGTTTCCGCGTTTTCAAGACGTTTCGAGACGATCAGACGAGACGGTTCAGCTCAAAATTGTCGCATGGAACGTCAATGGTCTTCGGGCGATCCTCAAGCGAGACGATAGTGTCCACCTGCGTGCTTACGTGGCTCAGGAAGATCCGGATATCGTCTGTCTCAGTGAGACAAAGATCTGCCGCGACGAGCTACAGAAACTCGAGGACTTTCTGCCGCAGTACGAGCACCAATTTTGGTCCTGTGCAGTCAAAAAAGGGTACGCGAGCACAGCAGTTTTCTGCAAGACGAAGCCACTGCGTGTGCGAGACGAGATTGTCGTGGGAAGTCACGCGTCAAAAGGGAGTGACAAGTCGGAGAATGGGGAAACGGACCAAGAAGGACGTTTCTTGGCATTAGAATTTGACAAGTTCTGGCTGGTGCACACGTACGTCCCGAATGCTGGAGGCAAGTTGGAACGGCTGAGGTACCGAACCAGTCAGTGGGATCAAGCCATGCTGCGTGAGATGAAGGAGATGGAGAAGATAAAGCCCGTCATTTGGTGTGGAGACCTGAATGTCGCGCATCACGAGATCGACATTCATAACCCAAAGGGTAACCGCAAAAGTGCTGGATTCACGGATGAAGAGAGACAGAGCTTTAGTGAGATCTTGGACAGTGGATTTGTGGATACATTTCGCCGCTTGCATCCAGAAAAAGTCGAGTACTCGTACTTTGGCTACCGTCATAACATGCGCGCGAAGAACAAAGGCTGGCGACTTGACTACTTTGTCGTGTCGGAAGCACTGATGCCAAGAGTGGTACGTCTAGTGATGGAATGCCAGTTGTGCGAGTGCGTTTCGACTAAGCACTGTTTACATGATCTTGTTTTCTGCAGCGATCGTCTTTCATTCGACAAAGTGTTGTTGGCAGTGACCACTTGCCTATCGGACTGGAGCTTGGAGACCTCTCGTGAGCTGCTGTCTTCGATACGGGGCGAGTGTGCGCAAGGACCATCTTGAACGAATATCTTACACTACTTGATCGGTTGGGTGTGCAGCATGCTGACCCATTACACTTACGCCTTGTTTATTCGTCAATGACAAGAAGCGTTACAAGGATATTGACTGGTCAATGTCGAAAATTGCCCACCTCGATCTCTTGAGCATGTAGTTGTCATAACGGATGATTCTAGACTACAAAGTGTCGTATTACTATTGACCGATCGGACAAATGTAATGCAACTGTATCGAGAAGTATACATTGGTCTATCCAAGTGCAAGTGTCAGTGTCGTGCCGATACGGTATGTTCGGACCTTGATCCTTGTTTCGACCGCGTGACGTAGATGCATAAGATCATGTCGAGTATCTCATCTTCAGCTTAAAACAGCTATACCTTGAAAGTCTGTCTGGCAAAGGGATATTTTTGGTAAATTGCAAAATCGCCAAATGGGTACTTGCTACAAGATGCCGCCTCGTCATGTTTTAACACTGGTCTTACTTCATCACTCTCGCCACTCAGTCTATGAAGGACATTGGCCAGTCGTTCGTTTTACAGCACTACAAAGCATAAACACACTCTCTGATGACCTTGAATGGTTTACAAGTAATCAAATGGGAGGTGAGCAGGCGGCAAAGCTATAGTGGCGGATGTCATGGAGGTCTTTCTAAGAAAAAAAATTCGATAGGAAGTTATTACTAATTGCACGCATTTGTTAAGTTTATACTCGTGACGACTCCTATTCAACATAGCAACACCAACCTATTCAGCTCCTCTGATCTAATGGTCATACTTTGTAGGGGTGACAAATGGTGAACTGCACTACAAGCGTAATGATAACAAATTCAGACGGCATCATAAAGCAACCTTGCCGTCGATAAATAACAGGGGCAACACAAATCCACGAGGAATTATTTGCCTACAAGAAATGACAATTAAGTCGATATTCACCAGTTGAAGAGCACGATACAAATCAAAAATATTTTTACAGGCCCTTTAAAAACGGCCAACATCGTGACGCTTACGTAATGTGTAGCGGAGCTACACAGCTCCTTAAGTCAGAGGAAGACTTAACGCTCTACGAGCAACTTGGTTCTAAAGAACTAACGACTTTACGAGTCAACAAGCTTTACAGCGTTAGATCCCTGTTCCAGGGGACCTAACGATTCAGTGAATCGACAGCACTTAGTGCTCAAGAGTAGCTACCTCAAGGAGGTGTTGCTAACTCTTAGTGATCAGAGATCAACGATCAAGACGGCTCGCAAGCCACGTGTCTTTCAAATCAAAATGGGAACTGATTTTATTTTTGTTAAAGCCTATAGAATATCTTAATCCTACTCAAAGATCTTTCGTATCTAATGGCTGACACTCGTCAGCCCCTACAAACCAATAAGATATTCTATATCACCTTCACAGACGGGTACCCTCAGGTGTGTAACACCTCTGGTACAAAGTACCATAATTTCGTGTAACCCCGTTACACCCTCCCCCACCAGACTGACGTTTGCCAAAACATCAATCGAACTTGTGTTCTCAGCGAGAACAGTGCGCGTACGGTGAACCTCACGGTAACGTACGCTCCAGCACGATGTCCTCATCACCAAACGAGTCAAAGGCTATGTGTGACTACCTCGGGATAGAGGAGGAGGTGGACTATGGTAGCGATACCAGTGTCCGCGGTGATACAGGGACAATGTCCGGCTCACTGATGCCTGAGGCACAACTTTCGAACACCCCAAATCCGTTCGCTGAACGTGGAGGCGCGAGAGCGCCACCAGCACAGCGTGCAGCATCTGGGTCTGATGAGACTACCATCACGAACCCGCTCGATGAGCAACAACAACTGCTTGTTCAAAGAGAAGAAAACGCTCAGCGTTATGTACAAATGGCTGCAACCCTTGAATGCCAGCGTGACTATGTGTTCACCCCACCCAGTGTGGAGGAACGTCTACGTCAAGCGGCCGGCCAAACATTGGCAACGTGGGTCATTGGCCATGGGCCTAAGACTCCTGAGGAGGTGGTGAGCTGCCAGGCACTTCGTGAGAGGTACCTGGAGCCGCACCTAACGACTCAAAGTCAATACAAGGCACGCCTTGACATGCAAGCACGTGGTGCACCGGTTCCACCGATCAAGGGTATACCCATTCTCCTGCTCGCAGGCGAAACAGTGAGCGAAGAAGATGATGCCTTTGTTCACTGGGTGCACTATGTGCGTCGCCTCAGCAACATTTTTGCTCTAAGGGCTAGTGCCAGTGTGGCTGACGTGCGTCTTGAACGCAAGCTTCGGTATGATTATGCCA